GCGAGATTTCCGAAAGCGTCTTCTCGGGATCGATTGATCGATTTGAGCAAGAATGCGAAAGGACGATTTTTTCTTTTTTTTTTTCGAGAAACGACTATTTCCCCTCTAATACAGATACATTTCTACAGATTCTCTAACAATAAGCTCCCCCGAGTACAAACGTGTTACACGACGACGATCGCAAAGATAATTTTGTCGGAAACTATTTCCCTTCTAATACAGATATATTTCTGTAGATTTCTCGACACAACAAATTTTGCAAATAAAACTAACAATAAGCTCCCCCGAGCGTAGCTATGTTATACGACGACGATCGCAAAGGTAGTTTTTTTTTCCCAAAAAAACTGGTTATTTCCCTTTTAATATAAATACATTTCTGTGAATTCTCGTCACAACATTTCTGCAAATCAAACTAATAATGAGCTCCCCCGAGTAGAGCCGTATTGTACGACGACGATCGTAAAGGTAGAGTGAGATGCTTCGCGACTCTTCCTGTGCGAGTCACGGCACAACACACACGCATAGAAGTGCGCGCGGTGTAGCACGCGGCTCCCGACGTCTCTCGAATTTTCGTACCGCCTGTATCGCGAGAGGTATCTCTCGTCAATAATGATTGCCAAAGCGGAGAAAATCGATACCGCTTGGAAATTGCGGGCAGAATCTTCCGTGCTGGGAGATGAAACCGTGCTCGCGGATGAAATTTTCCTCACCTATGAACGGTTATCGATCTGCCGTACGCCGGCAAGCGTTAAAACTAACTCGTCCTTCTCGTACTTTATGGTAATTCAACGTCTCGCTCGTGTCGTCGCATTTTGCGTTCGCTCGAAAATCGCGATTTCGTCGGACCGTCGCAAGCGGGATGGCTAAAGCATCATCTCCGAGGGATACGCGCGCGGGATTTCGCTTCTTTTCCACGTCGTATTAACGAAAGCAGGCATTCGTGCGTTGTTAGTAATACGTTAGTATACAATTCGTAAATCCAGGACTGTGTTACAAAACGCTCATTGGAATAGATCTTCTCGAGGAAGCGTGTTTAGCTTACATCTAGAAAAAGGGAAGTATTATTTTCCTGGTATACGTAGGAAAGAGAAAACGTGCGTGAAGCGACGTAGAGAGAAAAATCGAAAAATAATTCTATACTAACGTGGGACTCTAGACTCTCTCTGTGACACACGGTCTTCCTATACCTTTACAAATATTTACGATAACACCGGCAGTTTGCGCGCGTGGACGTGTGCTACTTACATTGATGTTTGTCTGCTAGCATAACTAAGGTAGTCGGCAAATCCCTCCGCCTGAAGAAACACATGACTTTTGCTTCCACATTCCCGTTCGCGGTCTGGAAGAATGGAAAAATGAAAAAATTAATTCTCGAATTTTTACGCCGAACCGTCTACCGCTGTAGCCTAGGTATATGCATACATCTGCATTATTAAGAGAATTTAAATACATTTAGATAGAAGAGACGAATATAAATAGCCGGTCGATCCTCATTATAATTTCTCGCTAAAATCACAACAGCGCCGTTTTCAATACCTTACCTTATTTAATTCTTCTATCCTCCTAATCTGATACGGCGACGAGGTGGCAGTCTCAAAATACACGTAATCTAAAAAAAAATAACATTGTATCAACAATCGTAGTAATAAGTAAAGAAAAAGAGAAAAGTACAAATTATCCTCTAAATTATCGCGAAATCTACAAATTATATATTTCTTCCTTTATGAAAAGGCAAAGGAATTTTGATTACCTCGCGTCTAATATAATCGTCTTCTCTCGAAAATCTTAGGGATACGTTGAAAACACATGTTGTGTCACCGACATGAACAGAAAGGAATTAGAAAATCTTTCTAGATCTTCTGGTTTTTTCCGGAAAATTCTAGAGATGAAAACGGAGGTGGAGATTTAGGAATTAGAAAATCTTTCTGGGACCTCTCTCTGCTTTTCTTCGGAAAATTCTAGAGACGAAAAACGGAGGCGGAGATTTCGGTTGAATGCACGTTGCCACCGTTGTGTTGCTGCCGGTGATACAAAATAAAAAATTTTTCTAGATTCTCTAGAACTTCTGGTTTTCTCCGAAAAAATCTAGAGACGAAAAACGGAGGCGGAGATTTCGGTTGAATGCATGCTGCCGCCGTTGCCTGCCGGTGATACAAAATCGAAAAGCGAAGGAACAGCAGGGGACAGAGGAGGGGGGAATGGAAAGCGGTCATCGTCGAGATCTAGTGCGCGGCACTACCTCGTGTACGACGCATCGATACAACGAATAGCGGCAGCTTCGAGCGGTAATCGCTAGGATCCAATTTTGATCCGCGAGATTTGTCGCGCAAGAAATTAGCGTGACCTGGACGTGAGAGAGAGCGAGAGAGAGAGAGAGAGGTTGCGCGGGGGAGGAAGGTGGCAGATGAAGAGCAGGGGGGAACAGGGGGACATAGAAGAGAGACGGCAAGAGTTAGAGAGAGAGGAGGAGGAGGAGGAGAAGGAGAAAGAGGAAGAAGGGAACGGAAGACGTTCGGCGGTGGTGTTGCATCCCTTGATGCATGTAACCAATTTCAAACCGCACGCGCCGTAACCATATCTGCACGCAGCCATGTAGATGCGCGTAGACGGTAGACTGCGTGTGCATCATCTACGTATTAATCCTAGTCGTATATGCACGTCTCCGCCGTGCTGTAGTCCGCGCGATATAGACGACGGAGTTTGCTCGTCTCGTAACATC